TTTAAAAAAAAAAAAAAAAAATTCTGTTAGCTGCCTAAATATTACTTTGGACGGAAGGGGAAATATGCATCCAATAAATAATTTGCCAATTATATGAGCATGCCACATAATCCTAAATCTACAAAGTGAGATACATCATGCATATAATAAATCCAAGCAATGGCACTGAAACTGTCAACTCTGTTCTTTGTTCAATCAAACTCACCTGTTTGCACTAGTAAGCCCTGGCAAAAGTGAGAAGATTGTTCCCACCCATTTCAAATTACTGAGCCCCCAGTTCACCCTGTGTGTTTAGCCTGGGATCATAGCAGAAGAAGGGTGTTTTATTCTTTCTTGCTGCACTTGCCTTTTGGAATATAATTCCTCCAGCATTTCTCCAAATTTCCAGATGACTGCAACCCTGTTGACCTTTCACAAGGCATTAAAGATCAGGGTTTCTCAACCAGGGTTCCGTGGAATCTAAGGTTCCCTGAGAGGTCACTAGGGGTTCCCTGGGAGATTATGATTTATTTGAAAAATTAATTCAAATTTGGGCAACACACTCTCAGTGATGAGCAGACACTGAACAAAAATCTAGTTAAAACTCTTCCTGAGCTCTCTGGTAGTGCACTGTAGGACTATGTTTATTTGGTTGAATCCATTCTTAATTTTTGATGCAAGATAGGAGAGAACATTGGTAACAGGTGAATGCTATAATGCAGGAAGGGAAGAATATATTGAAGGGGAGGGAGAAGTGCATTTTTCAAGAAATTAAGGGACTTGTCCAACTTAGTCTATGATGTCAGTCTCTCCCTCTCACATCTTTTTCCTGCAGTCTTCCTGTAGTGATTTATCCTGTTATTTTAAATAAATTTCGTACATGTTTAGTCATGTCTGAGGGTCCAATGTGGCGATTTTTGAAGAGGAAGTGTGAGAAAGAGGAGGATTCTAGAACGGACAAAACCGGTAAGTTTAATGATAATGAAGAATTTAAATCTTCTCAGGCATTTCCCTGCACTGGTATATCAACAGACTCCAAAAAAAAAGTCTGTCTTTACAATGAAAGCTATTTATCAATGGATTTTACATGAACTGGTAATCCAACTTGTCCTATTCCATTGTGCTTCATCTGTGGCAAACAACTTACAAATGCAGCAATGGCTCCAGAAAAATAAAAAAGACACTTAACTACAAAACACAGCCATATGACAAGTAAAAGTTCTGATTATTTTAAATGGCTATTGGAATCACAGAACAGAGTAAAGTTTTTGTTAATAAAATGAGAGTCAGTAAAAAAGTCCAAGAAGCAAGTTATTTAGTAGCAGAACTTATTACACAGCAAAGGAAAAGTCACACTTTGGGTGAGAAAGTAATCATGTCAGCATGTAAAATAATAATGGGAAAAAATGCTAGGACCAGATGCAGTACAAGAAATTGAAAAGGTTCCGCTGTCAAACAGTACAATAAGTCAGTGTACTGATGACCTCACATGATGCTGAAGATGTTTTGTGTGATAAACTGAAGAACAGCAGCTATTCCATCCAAGTTGGTGATACCTTCTATCCAAGAATAAATGTCATGTTATGGCATTTGTAAGATTTGTAAATGATGGTGAAATTAAAACTTTTTCTGTGCATGAAATGTGCAAAGGCCAAGATGTATTTAATGATTTGTCTTTATATCTGGAAACAAAAAGTCTGTCTTGGAGGAACTGTGTTGGCATCGGTACTGATGC